AGTATCAGAAAATTCAGTGTCTAAATTATTTAGTATGAAATCCTAACACGAGTTTTAAAATATGAACTCTACTACATCGTATCCATAAGAGACCTACCTAGGCGAGGAGTTGTATGTATGGTTGACAGGAAGGAGCGTCGTTGTCGGCACTTTGCAACAATGTGGAGAAACGTCCGCGGCATCCACGGCTGTTTGATTTGTGTCCCTTTGTGAATAGGCGTTTTTCATGCATCCGTGCTCCCTGCACCGGAACGATGTAGCTCGTTTCTCCCGGTACGTATGTTAAGGGCCTTTTAAAAGACGTCCTCCGAGTTTATCCCGCTGCGCTACCGGTACCAGTTTCCGTTCGCCACACGCTACACATAGGCGAACCTCGCGCTAGCCGTTGCCTCTTGGCGTCCAGACGAACCCGTCCCTCCCTCCCTCCAACGCTCGCGCTGTCTCTCTTCTGCTTCTTCCCTCGCCTATTTTGTAGGAACCAACCTCTCCGTCTCCTCTTCCTAACCCTTTCGCTTTTCATCTCCGTTTCTCCATCGCCATCGGCTTCTTCTTTTTCGAGGTGCTGCAGGTGTCGTGCATTGTCCGCCGTCGCGGCCTTTAAATCTCGTCCCTGACGTCGTAGCTGTGGAGAGAGCTCTCGCTCTCTCTCTCTCTCTCTCTCTCTCCCTCCCTCTTCCCCAAGATACATACGACTGCCGGGAAGTTACACGTTCCACGGACACTCGTCTTCTTATTGCAAAACGGTTTGGTCTGATAAGCATCTTTTCGGGAATTTCGGCTTCTTTCATAAGTTTCATCGCCGCATTACGACGAAGCGTCTCGCACATTCCCATTGCTTAGAGCTTAGATCATCAGCGACAAGTTGTACGCGCTAGTCTGACTGCGAGAAATATAGATAGGCCAGGTAACATAAAATTATCAAACTGACGTGTCTTCTATCTGATAAATGATTAAATAAATAAATTATACTAATGATTAAAAATTATTTTAAATGTGATATAAAAATATACGACAATTTTCTTAGGTATTATTTTAATATTATTAGGCTAAGTATTTATAAAGTTGGGAGATTAAAACGAAAACATGGAATCGAGAATTGAAATGTTTCTTTTACTAAGAACTGAAGCCTCAGTTTGGCTACGTTACAGTACCCCGGCCAAGACTTATACGTCTGTTCGCGTTCAATGTACCAGCCTCGATCGCGAAACAGGAAGAGAAGAGGAACGGCCGGATGGTGCACGAGGTGTATCGGCCGCGTACAAATTTATGCTGGTGCCAAGTTAATGTCCGACTACGCTCTGTACTTCTTCTCCTTCCACCGATCCCTGGCGCACGAGTCGCCGTGTACGCGATTAGAAGTACAGTAGAACATTCCTCTATCCGATTAAACGTGGCTTGTATCGTCCACTATTTAAGCCTTACGTTATTAGAACATCTTAGCTAAACTGAGTATCGTTTAGCAACAAATGTTTCATCCTATTGTAAAAAGTTTGTATTTATCTCTGCAATTCCAATGAATTATTTCATTTTAATTTAATATAAGTAATTCTTGATTCTATTTTCGTACAAAATAGAAAGTAAAGAAATCTTCTTTTTGACGATCGAAGTGAGCAACTTAATATTGATATTAAATGTTCCTTGCATCACAGTTTACAATACCTACAACTTTTAAAAAAGATCCTGTATTACCGCTATATTTTATCAATCTTATTATCAATATCTACATATGTAGAATACAAAGAAGAATGTCTCGCAGCACGTTGGCAGCACCGCGAAAGCAAGGGGTGTACAATTTCAAGCGATAATGGACACGGTACTCGCGCAGGCTCCGTTCTCTTCCTCCTCAGCTTCGTGGCTTCGTATCTCCATATATTTACATGGACCGGGCTCGCGGCGCGCGGTTTAAGATATTCCGGGCAATAAAAAGACACGCGGGTCGAGGCAAAGGCTACTTGCAACATGCATAATTTGCACCCCGTTGCGCCATATACGTAAGTAGGTTACCAGCCGAGCTCGGGCCCAAGGGTCCCCCGGTACTGAAACCGCGTCCGCCGCGCGTAACAGAGATGTAGATAAATAAAGTGTGAAGACCGTGAGCGGGTTTCGGTGCCAGGAGCCAGCTTCCCCTGTCTTCTGTTTTCTGTTCTGTTCACGGATTCAGCCTCACGTTTCCAGCTCCTCCCCCGGTTCCTCGGCGTCCATAGGCTAATTGGACCAGCTGCCTCCGCCACGAGGCGGTCCCGTGTTGCATTCAAATCGGTTCCCGGTAAAATCTCCGGCCCGGGATCGATTCGGGATCGTATATTACGCGCGCCGCGAGCTTGCTCCACGGAAATTACCCCGCTCGCGATTTGTCTTCCCGACACCGGCGAATGTCCACTGGTGAGAACTGATTCCAACCTATTTAACTTCTCCTCCAGGAAATTGATATTCTAACTTTACTAAATCTTAGTATAGTTTTGAAACGAATTGTAATTAAACAGACGTTCTTGTATCGATGAGAAAATTGACAATTTTCTAGATATAAATTGTATTATATAATCTTGCACGAAGTGCAAAATTGGAATCGAAGAAAGTATTACAAAGACAACAATCTGAATTTGAATATAAAGCCATGTAAAACCAAACTCTTTCGGCTTTTTAAACTGCCTGTATATACGTGCGTACCGTGGATTAAAACGGTCGCGGATGATTTTGCAAACTCATTCAAATAGAGTGTGGATCTCTATGTATCGAGATAATCGATCTTAATGGACCGGGTTCGGCCGCTAATGAACTCCCCGTCGGATCGGAGGGAGAACTGGACACGCGTGTCGAAAGCGGCACCGGCTGTGAAATAATCAACGCGAGCCGAGTGTGAAATAATCGACACGAAAGTCGTCGCTCCGAATTATGTACACACGAGTATACATATTGTATGTACTATCTCCATGTACCTCCATGTATCTCCATGAGTGTTAGTTAGACAGGTACATATGATGTAAGATTAATTATAAATGAATAGAAAAAAAGGTAATCGTTGATGTACATAAAAATGTGCAAGGAGATTAAATGATTTCAATTGGAATTAAAAGAGTTTTCGAAATGTATGATAGATGAAATTATGTATTTATTGATAAAATGTATCTTAAGTGCCTTTGACTTTTAATTAAACGTTTTATGAAACTTGTTAGATAATAATAATAATAGCAGTAAAATCATTTGACGTATGTTATAAGAAAATAAGAAAAATGAGGATAGAACGCATTTTCACCAATCTTCTAAACCTGACAGACCAATGTTGTTGAACCTCGAGGGGGATTTCCGTTTCTTTCAGGACCACCTAGCAATTACGTTTTATGTCTCGCAATCAGTAAAACTCTAAGTACGCGTAGTTTGCCGGTGTAATTTCACCTTCAATTCCTCGCGCCTGGTTCCGCAGTGCAAGAACGCAGCCGGCGCGAGGTGTTGTAATTTCGCGAGGAAAGAAGGAACAGGAAGGTGTAAGCAGCCCCGGCAATCAACACGTACCTCATCTTCGACGATATGGCGGAATATCTCTCGATGTATTTCCTATTTCACTTTTTCCTCAGGGTATTATTTATGTTTGTTTATGCTTGTGTTCAAACTGGTGATAAGATAACTTACAATTACCTCAAGATTAAGTAGCGCTAGTCAAGTTTCAATTTGATTGGAATCTGAGTTCAAGTATCAAATCGAAGATCAATATCTGTGAATATATCAAACCATGTTTTAATCTTGAAGATTTATTTCTGACTTCTTATTAATCTTTTAATTTATGGTTGCAACGTAATTCATTTTTGATATACATACGTAGATGCCAATTTTCAGAAACCTAATCTTGTTATACTATTTGGTAATTAAATATATTTTTAAAAGAATTTAAGACTGATCATTTCTCCCATATTAGCCTAATATTCACGTACGCGAATAATACGCGAATCTCGTATGTAAGTCAAGAGTTTCTCGCGATACAAATGATTGTTTTGATTCAGCAAACGAAACTCTATTCCTTTTAAGGACCGCCGATTTCTTCCCACAGGTAATTAGGGAAATATGCTGTGAGAAACTGCATAATACGTACCATAACTAGAAAAGAACGTACACAT